TCTCTGCCCAAAGAGGAGGCTCAGCCTCATTTACATGACATACAATGTATATATAGGCATGATTCCTTAAGGTGCACGCACGACCTGATGCCTGCCTCTACACAGATGACAAGGCTTCCCTATCTAAATCTTCATCCTAACCCTAAACAAAAGGTACCCATTCACTCTCTTTGGAGGCTTTGAAAGCTACTCCCCAGCTATTCCCTGTGATCTCTTTATTTGCTGCAAATAAAGTTTACTTTGCATGACAATTCCACCTGGTGTATCTGTGACTCACCAAGGAGCAAACTCATGTTGTTCAGTTACACCACTTCAAATAAGACCATAATGCTCTGTCATGGCCTATTAGGTCCTACCCATTCCCATCTCATTTCCAGTCACTCTCTGCCTTGGTAACTCTTGTCTGGCCACACTGGTCTTACTGTTCCCTGAACACACAAAGCTTGTTCCTGCCATAGGATCTTCACATTTGCTGCTCTGCTCCCTCTACTTGGATCTTTACAAGTTATAGTACTTCCAAATTTCATTTAAATCTCTTGCCACATCCTCCAAAAGAACTTTCCTGAATACTATATCCAAGATGTCCCCTGCCCAGAACCAACTGACCACGCTCTCCCTTGCCCTATTTTATGTTCCTTTAGAGTACTTAATACTGCCTAACATTCATCAGTCACTTATTTAACAAATATCTTCAGGGCACAAACACTACAGTGCTCTAAAGCAGAGGTTCTCAACCAGAGACAATTTTGCCCCCATGGGGAATATCTGGCCATGTCTGGAGACATTTTTGATTGTCACAACTGGGGAGATGTCACTGGCATCTAGTTGGTAGAGACCAGGGATGCTGCTAAACATCCTACAATGCAAAGGACAGTCTCCACAGCAAAGAATTATCTGATCAGTAGTGCTGAGTTTGGGAAACCCTACTTTGAAGTGATATAAAAAACTCCCTGCTCTCATGGAGCTCATATTCTAGTGTAAGTATCATGTTATATATTTAGTTGGTTACTTTCTCTCTCCTTGTTCAATAGTTTAACACCAACACTGAAACAGCGCCTGAGACACAGCATGAGTTCGATAAACATGTGTCTCATGAATGAATGAAAAAGACACAAATGACTTTCATTAGTAAGTGACAAAATGCATTCCTCCTTAAAATATACATCATTGTCCTAACCCCATATGAAGCCAATATGCTTACAATTCAGACAAGGAAGAGAATTCATCTTTGGATACCACAGTCTGGACCTTTACTTTTGCTCTTCTTGGCAATGATGACATCTGGAAGAAACAGAATATAAAATCAGCATGATCTGAATCACTTGAATGACTGATCACTTATGCTGTCTACCAAGTGATGTGCCATTCAAAACTAACGCTCCAATAGCTCTGCTGTTAAAAAATGCCACAGGAAAAAAAATGAGAAGCATTCAAAAGCCTGAACACTGGTTTCCCCTCCCACGCAGCTGCCAACTATAAGAGCAGCTAACAGCCTTCGAATGGTTTAAAAGCCTGATGAGTATGTACCATCTTTGGAAAAACGTAAGCTCCAACAGCGTGACAATTTTTAGTTTCATTAGAGTTATATGCTTGCATATACCACAAGTGCTATTAGATGGCTCATCAGTCAGCAAATTATAAAATCCTTTATTAAACTGTAAGAAGTATTTCACCACTTCTATATTTTCTCACAATATAAAAGAAAGGCCTTTCTATAAAGTTGACAGTCAAATAAATGATGTTGATGGACTGAATAAGCAGCCAGGTTATTCCTAAAACAAGATAATCCATTCCCTTATAATAAAATTTACAGTATTTAAATAAAACACTTATTTGAAAATAAAAAAAACAATCACTAATGTCCCTAGAAAATATTTACCAAATTCAAAGGCCTAGTGCTTTAAGAAATTGAGACAAATAACCAGAGACATCCTATAATATAGGAAGTAAGCAAATTCACTTTAGATCATATAGTTTATTACCTAAGGAGTGTATATCAAACCACAAAAACTACATGAGACTCTGACATGTTTGGAACCCTTTAAAAGTTTCTAAACCAGTCATATGTTACAATGCCTCTGGTTCTAACTTCCACTTAGAAGAGAAAGGAATGCCTCACAGAAATACCAAACAGGTTCTCAAAAAACAGAACATGTGCCCTCGGTTCCATAGCTCAACTCCAGGAAGTGTGGCACTATTAACCAAGAGAGCACTCAGAGTAAAGCAGGAGAACAAAAGGAAAAGGGTCTCCAGGAAGTAGACAAGGTAATCTGCCATCTTTTCCTTCACCCCCCTTTGTGGCATTTTATGTTTATGGAGGTCATCCTTCCTCAAATAAGTGCTTCTAGATATTGATCATAAAAGGAATGGGTAACTTTTGATTTCTGTGTCACATGTACTTTACCAGAATAAAACAAAAATGCAAACAGAGAAAATTAGTGTATGACGGGGTAGCATTTTAAACCAGGGCAGAAATGAATTATTCAATAAATGATATTAAGACAACAAGGTATCCCTCTGGAGGAAAACAAGTATTTAAGTCCTACTACCACATCCTGAACAAAAATGTATTCCACACAGACTAATGACTTAAAATGTACAAAATAGAGGCGCCTGGGTGGCTCAGTCGTTAAGCATCTGCCTTTGGCTCAGGTTATGATCCCAGGGTCCTGGGATCGAGACCGGCATCAGGCTCCCTGCTCAGCGGGAAGCCTGCTTCTCCCTCTCCCACTCCCCCTGGTTGTGTCCCTCTCTCGCTGTCTCTTTCTTTGTCAAATAAATAAATAAAAAATCTTTTAAAAAATAAGTAAAAATAAAATATACAAAATAAAACCATAAAAGTACTACAGAAAATAAAGATGATCATTTTCATAATTTGGAGTAGAGGTGGGGGAATAAAAGTTTTCCTAGGCATAACTCAAAATTTCAAAAGCCAAAAAGACAGATTTCACTACATAAAAATTAAAATTCCAAGTCAGCAGTGGGAGCATTTCAGAAGCAAACTGATCTGCTTTGCACTATCCTCAAAAAAAATCACAAGAAGCAGTACCTAATACCTTGGAACTATGGATGAAGGGACTAAGGGCTAGTGTAAGCTGTCTGAGGCAAAGAAATATCTCTAGAGGCCCCACTCTATTTCATGCTATTAAGCAATTGCCCCAGGAAAACATCTGGAGGATTATTCACTGAAGAGGATAAAAAGAGTTTCTGGACTAGAGGACAGCAAGTATAATTGTGGGCATGGGAACCATACAGACTGAATGCTAAATATATAGAGGACCCCTCCCCCCAGTCCTCTTCTCCCACCAAGCTCCTAGTCAGATCCTTACCTTCCAGGGAGAATGGAAAGACTCTTCTCTGGACAATGTGAACAGCCCCAAAATAAAAACCTGAACATACTAAGTTTCCCAACAAACAACCCAACCAAATCATCTACTCCCACCACCCTATTCTACAATATACCTGAATTCAGAACACTCCCTTACAGACCACCACGCACCAGTTCTCACTCCATACTTCATCCTTAATAGAAATGGGTTTAAAATAGGAGTAGACAAACCCTTGGCAGTCTCATAAAATTCTGATTACCCATTAAAGAAAACTTCCCTGAAACAAGTATTCCCAAATGCCCCTTAATTAGGCACCCGGGAAGCAATGTTACCATTGAAAGATGAGTAAGATGTAAACTTGTCTTTTGACAAGCAGAAAAATAATGAGTTTGAAAAGGGAGGTGGTGGGGGGGCTGCCTAGGTGGCTCAGTCAGTTCAGCTTCAGACTCTGATTTTGGCTCAGGTCATGATCTCAGGGTTGTGAGATCCAGCTCTGTAGCAGGCTCCGCGCTGGGTGTGGAGCCTGCTTAAGATTCTCTCTCTCCCTCTCCTGCTGCCTCTCCCCTCCCCTCATACATGTGCATGGGCGCACTCTCTCTAAAAAAAGAAAAGGGAGGTGGGAAAAGAGAACATGCATGAGCACATAGGTCAATTTCAGACTGATCGGCTTTAGAAAGAGTATATACAGAAACTAAGGACCTAGAAATTATTTCTTAAAAACTGCCTATGCCATGTATATCCCAAGAATATTCATATTCCAGTTTAAAAACCAATGTTCTTGGGAGAAGTTTCTCCATCTCCACTCCTCCCATGTCCCCTTTCTTTATATCATAGGATTTGTTAGATTAACAAAATTCCATCCATTTCCATGGTTTTAAATATCTGTATCACCTACTTAATAACAATCCTAATATCTCCATTCCAATCTTGCCTAAGATACAGATTTACATAATAAACTATCCATACTGCCTATGAAACTATGCAGATGCCTCAAAGTTACCTAAAATGTAACATACCCACAATGAAACCTTGACAACCATTTCTTGTTTTAAAACCCACTCCTCGGGCGCCTGGGTGGCTCAGTTGGTTAAGCGACTGCCTTCGGCTCAGGTCATGATCCTGGAGTCCC